GCCTCCAAGGAGAGACCAAAAAACATAGGAACACAGTAAATATCTGTGTGCAGTTAGGCATGGTGGTACCTACCTCTGCTCCTACGGAGCAAATTTCAATTTCATAAGCATTTCCCTGTGCCCCTCCCAGAATTGGGTACAATTATAAAGCTACTTTTTTATATTTCTAGCAAATTAGAAGTGTATTGGGGAAGTGGAAAACAGGTTCCTTATAGTTGGGGAAGACAGTTACAGAGATGGAAGGATGGAACAAATCTGGCAACATTAGTTAGAACCGGAAGTATCCACATGAACTCATCACATAAGTCTACTTACCCATCTCCATCTCTAAGAAGGCTAAAGGTAAAACAACCCTGGTACTGGTAAACAAACTACTACTCTGCTCTTGCCTTCTAAACACATTTTGCATCCGGCACTACAAATAAACAAGCAAAAAAACATGAAGGTCTATTAATTCTGTTTCTCTAGTATAATGAAATAGTAGAAGCAACCTCCCTTTGTAACAACGTTTGTCTAGATCACAGCTTTGGAAACTCCAGGCAGCACTGAGCACTGTGCTGATTCCGAGGAGGGCCCCCAGTCGCTGGCTCTACTGCCCTTAGGCAGTAGAGCTAAGGGCAAGGGTGAAAGGGGAAATGACTTAAACTGTTTCCAAGCAATGCCACAGGGCTGGAGGCTGGGGCTCAGGGAGAGAGCTCATCTAGCATGCACAAGGTTTGGTCTCCAGCACAGAGGAGAAAAGACAGAAAGGTGAAAGCAAACACTGAGATCAATAACCAAGTGCATGTATATTTTCACCTTGAAAGAGGCAGCTCATCAAGCAAGCAAAAACAAGCATTCATTAGTAATACAAGGTTCCTTTCAGCCCTCCAGTATCAGAACAGGAGTGGAGCTGCTTGTCTACAGAGGGGGTTATGATACTTTTGAATTTTTGTTAATACACTAAATTATGAGTGATGTTTTAGTGTATGGTTTGGTGTTAAAATACACAGAAGACAGATTTCATCTTTTTTATTATTAGTTATTGGGGGGTTATTTGGGGAGGGAGGGGCGAGAGAAGCTTTCTCCATGTAGACCTGGTTGTTTTACAACTCTGTAGACAAGGCTGGCCTTGAACTTAGAGATCCACCTGCCTCTGCCTCTCAAGTTCTGGAACTAAATACATGCACCACCATGGCCCAGCCCAGAATTTTACTTTTTATTGACTGAATAAAAGTGTTGTTTCTGCATTCTGGTTATAGTGAATGATGCCGCTATAAACATGTACATTTAAATACAAGTTTTTGATGCTGGTTCTTGCTGTGTAGTAGCCCTGGCTGGCCTGGAACTCCTAGATTGCCTGCATCTGCCTCCTGAGTGCTAGGATTACAGGTGTAAACCACCATGCCCATTCTGCATGCAAGTTTTTGTCAGGTTATATTCTTCTTTAGCAATTTGTTTTTGGGGGACAGGATAGTTTCTAGTCCAGTCTGACCTCAAACTCACAACCATCCTCTTGCCTCTGCCCACTAAGTACTGGAATGACAGTGTGTGATACTACATTTTGATATATTTTTTACTTCTTATATCTAATAGGAGAACTGTTGGCTCACATGACCATTTTCATAATTTTTGTTTTTTATTGTAGTCATTTCAGCAGATGTAAGTGATACAATCTCTCTCTCCCTTTCTCTTTCCCTCTTGTATATTAATTAATATGATATTAATTGATAAAGTAACAGTTCTCTTTAACCCCAACAGCTACCAAAGTAAAATCACAGAGAGACTATGATTTATGATTAAGTTCTAGGCACTATGCTGGGCAGATTCTGACTATTCTAATATTGCTAAAACCCACATAATAGCCAATCACTTGCCAATGTGGTGACTCCTGGGCGCCTTCTGCTCCATCAGTCCGTCTTCACGGCCATACTCACTTCCTGCTGCATATTCTGCTACTCTCCTTCCGTCCTTGTGGTCTCTTGACTCCAAGCCCTAGAACCTAAACTCGGCCTACCTCTCTTCTGCCTAGCCACAGGCTTCAGCATTTTTATTAACCAATCAACTTTAAATTAGCTAGAGCCAGGTTTACGCAACAAAGGCAGGTGAGAATGTGCTTGTCTGGGGGCCAGTAATTAGATTTAGATACATAGTACCAGACCAACCTGCAACCCTCTCCTCAGGCTAAGCCTGAAACCCAGGGCCATGTGTACACTGGGCACTTGAGTGCCTTCCTCCTGGAGAGCCACATTCCAGCCTATAATCCACTGTAATGTTTTGTTTTGATTTTAAGATGCATTTATTTTATTTGATGAGTATTTTGCCTACGCGTATGTTTGCTTGGCACAAATGTGCCTGGTGCCCTTGGAGGCCAGAAAAAGGCTTTGAATCCTAACATCTGGGATCCAAATGTGGGTGATGGGGAAAACCTGGGTCCCTCTGGAAGCTCAGCAAGTATTCTCAACTGCTGAGCCATCTCTTCAGTCCCTACCATAATAGCTTTGATTGGCAGTCTACATGCAGTAATTGAAGATTTTCTTATCTTCCCTGAAGAAAACATATTCAAGCCCTTGGTCCTTTCTTGCAGGAAGCGTGCTGGAAGGTTGAGCCCAGGGCCTTGTGCAGACATGTGCTGCATTGCAGGACTGTCCTACATCCCAGGATGGCCTGCTTTGTTTCCAAGCCTGACCACCTGAGTTTGATCCTTAGGACCCACATGGTGGCTGGAGAGAGCCAACTCACACAAACTGTCCTCTGGCCTCCACAGGCACTGGAGCACATTATGCAAACACACAGTAATAACAATAGATAAAATTTGTCTTGAATGAGACATAAGTTCTGTTCTTCCCAAACGTGCTCCCATCAGCCCCACTTGGATGGGCCATAACGTCACAGAGGTCAGAAGATTGGCAGCCAACCCTCAGCCTGCTTCTCTGTGGCTCTCAGCTGCCACCATCTACACCCACACTGGCCCCAAGTGACAGCTGCCCCTCCAGCCGTCCTCCAGCCTTCAAAATGGTTTTTCTATTTTCATTTGAAAAATTGTCTCATGCAGTACAGCAGTATGAACAGTCTTGCTCAAAATGTCCTGTCCACCCAGACATGCAGTCTGGTCTGAGATAGTAGGCTTTGCAGATATAATTAAGAAAACAATATATATGTATATAAACATATATAATTAAGGGTCTTGAGAAGACATCATGAGTTTAGGTCAGACCTTAAATCCAGTGACTAATGTCTTTACAAAAAGTAGAAGGAGAAGCTGGGCAAACAGCTCAGTCAGTAAAGTGCTTGCTGGGCAAACGTGAGGACCCGAGTTCAATCCTTAAAACCCAAGTAAAAAGTAAAAAGCCAGACATGGTGGGGCCTGCTTGTAATTTCAGCAGTTGGGAGGTCGAGACAGCAGATCCCTGGGGCTTAATAACCAGCCAGCCTAGCCTGATCAGCAAGCTTCAGATAACAGTGAGAGATCTGTCTCAGCAAAGAGGGCAGGCAGTACAGCCCAGTGGGTTAGGCTGCCTGCTAACAGCCTAAGTTCAGCCTGAGTTCAGTTTCAGGGACCCACACAGGAAGGGAAGAAGTGACTCCACAAACTACCCTCTGACCTTGTAAAAATAAATAAATGTAAAACATTTGAAAAAAATAAAAAAAAAAACCACAAAATGGATAACAGCTGAGGAATGGTACCGAAGGTTGACCTCCAGGGTGCCTGCACATGTGCTCATACATGTATGTGCACACACATACCATGCCTCAATAATGCATAAGAACAAAAAAATAAGTGAGGGGGGAAGACACGGAAGCACATGCCTGTTTGCTGCCTGCCTGGCGGGCTCTGCCCTCCCCTCCTTTTCTTTGTTTACAGACTCAAGTGACACTACTTCATGTTGAAATGACAGTGATCTTCGACAGGGAGTGTTGCATGAACTTTCCGGAGTAGACAAAAACAAAGTTTACTCGTCCCAAATAGGCACCAATGAAATGCCAAGGTAACAATTCTACCAAAGTCCAATAATTTGGTGAACCAGTTTATTGAGCTTATTTACAGAGTGTGGATGAGGGGTTACTTATGGGAGCGTGGGTGACCCCCAAACAGCTTCACGACAGAAATATCTCACCACAACACTGATGATGACTTTCCGGCTGCATGGATGAAGTTCTCGCCTTAGTTAACCTTCCATCTGCACATTCTACCTTCTTAGACAGAGAGACCACATGCAGCTGAGGCAGGATTAGAAACAGCTGACAGATCCCAGGTGGGATGGCTCACACCCTTAATCTCAGCTGTAGAGGCAGGCAGATCTCTCTCCCTGTCTCTCTCTCGTTTGAGGCCAGCCTGGTCTACATGGACAAACACTGTCTCCAAATACAAAAAACAGCTGGGTGGTAGTGGCGTATACCTTTAATTCCTGCCCTTGGGAGGAAGTGTCAGGCAGATCTCTGTGAGTTCTCGGCTAGCCTGGTCTACAGAAGTTAGTTCCAGGAGAGCCAGGGCCACACAGTAAAAACCTTGTCTCCCAAATCCCAAAGCAAGCAAGCAAGCAAACAAACAAAAACAGCTGACAGGAAGGGACAGCAGGCTCAGATCTTAGCTTGAGGGTTCTGGGGAACATCGTAGCTGCTCTGATCAAGATGGCAATAGTGTCAGGCATAATGATGCACGCCTTTAATCCAAGAACTTGGCAGACAGAGACAGGTGGGTCGCTGTGACAGCCTGGTCTGCTTGGTGTGTTCCAAGCAAATGAAGCTACACATCGAGACCCTGTCTCAAAAGCCACACAAACAGCTGCTGGAAGGATGGCTCAGCAGTTAAGAGCTGGTACTGCTGGACCATAGTTTGATTCCTAGGGACGCACTCAAATGCACATAGAAACTGATCAAAGTGCATCTTAAAAGGATGACAATGGCTGTTATGCTCAGAGAACAGTGTTCACACAGCAGGAACTGGTAACCTTGAACCTTGTTCCGGCTCCTCCTAAAGCATGTAAGCTGCTTAGTGGAGAGCTGTGTGGGCAGGCTGGCCTTGGCCCCTCCACTGGAAGCAGGATGTTTTTCAGAGCACTGGCGGATGGTTCCTATGGCTTAAAACCCAATGTGGCTGCCTTTGGGGAGTCTCAGCACCGCACGTGAAGAAGACAGTGGAGACTCCATCACCCTGACATTTTCTTGAGCCTTGGGGACTAACTCTGTCATCCCTTTCTGCCCACAGGGAAGTAACAAGCCCGCTCTGGGAGCATGCTCTTTCTCAGTGGACTCACACTGGTACCATTGCAGCTGCACGAGAAAATGCCAGGTTACTGTTCCAGGTAGCTGGCTGATGCAACGAGAGGTACTTTCCACACTGGGAGACCCTGCCTCGCAGGGCCCATCTCCAGGAAGTATCCCCCTCACGCCTGTCCTCCCCAGGATATCCAAGTTTCCTCTCCCCGCAAATCTTCCTGGCCTAATGGATTCCAGCGCTTAGCGGAAGCCCAGGCCCCGCAGCTGCCTCCCCGCCGCCCGGAGGACTGAGGGACCCAGGGCACCAGCCAGGCGAGTGGGCTGGCCCGAGGCTCCCAAACTGCTGACCTGGGCGCTCGCGAACAAAGACAGCTTCTCCAGCCGCCCGTGCGCCGCCATGCAGGCGGGAGCACCAGGCTGCATGTCCCCGAGTCCCTCACCGTCGCTTGTTTTGTTTTGTTTGAGGCAGTGTCCCTGCTGCCCTGGTGCTTGATAGGAGCCTAGCACACACCTCACACGCCTTACACACCTCCTGCCTTGGCCTCCCAAGTGCTCAGATTACAGGCGTGAGCGACCATACTAGAATAACGCGTTTGGGTTCAGGGAGGAAGCGGGGGAAAACTCACTTCAGAGACGCTTAAAAATGAAAGCTTTAACTTCTGCGCGGGGAGGGAGGCGGCCAGTTCCGGATCTGACCCGGTCGCACTGGGAGGTCGCACAGCGTTTTTAAGGTATGGGAACAGGAGCGGGGTGGGCTGTTGTGTTATTAACCAATCATATTTTGACACGAGGGATTGAGCAGAAGTAAACCTAGGTGACTGCGCCTTTCCAGGTCACCTGGTTTTCAGGACCCTCGACTCAGCTCTTTGCAGTCCTCTCTTGGACTTTGGCCCGGAATTTAGAATGATAAGGGAACAAAGGGGTGGGCAAGCTTTAAGTCAAGACAGGCAACACGTTTCCAAACTGTGCGCCTTAGTTTTAGGTAATGGCAACGTTCCTCTTTACATCCTTTACTGGTTAGCGTACAAACGTGGAGCATCTGAAGAAGCAGTTGGGTTACCGGGCATGGGAATATGAACTTTCTGTTTGTTTGTTTGTTTGAGACAGGGTTTTTCTGTGTAGCCCTGGTTGTCCTGGACTCCATTTGTAGACCAGGTTGGTCTCAAACTCACAGAGATCTGCCTGCCTCTGCCTCGGAGTGCTGGCTTTACCGACCTTTGCCACCACATCTGGCTATGAACTCTGTTTTGACCCTGTCGACAAGATGTAACTTGTTCCTGAGATGGCTGGACCCAGAAAACTGTCTCATAACAACACTGTGATGGGCCGTACGGCAAAAAAAAAAAAGAAATAAAAATGAAAATGGGTATGGCGGTGGTGGTGGAGATAAACTACCTGGTGTAGCCTTGATTTTTCCACACAACCATACTGGTAATATTACTTCCCTTTTTATTGTATGTCTGGATTTTGTTTTAAAACAGGGTCTCATGAAGCCAAAGTTTAAGTGTTAATGCTTTACCACTGTGCTATATATGTATGATATATGTATGATATATATATATATATATATCATATATATATATATATATATATATTTTTTTTTTTTTTTTGACGCAGAATTTCATGTAGCCCAGGATGCTGTCAGGCTCTTAAGGCACAAGTACCTGTTACGGAGTCCTGGCTCCACTCTGCAGTTCTGCTTCCTGTATAGCCTAGCCATTTTGGCCACAAGCTGTCTTGGTGCTCCTGGTCCTTATTCTCTTGACCTCTTGGCTCTTCTCCCTCCCCCTAGTCTTCTCTCTTGTCCCATTCAACCCCCTCTCCTCTCTTAGCCAGGTTCAGTCTGGACCCTTCAGATGCTCTAGCTGTTCTCTCCTTAACCATACCTAGGACTGATCAGGTCCTCATTTTCATTCACACCATCATAGCTAGCCTTTTTTTTTTTTTTTTTTAACTTTTTGACACTGCATGTCTCCGGTTTGACCATGAACTTGTTATTCTCTTGCCTCAGCCTCTTGAATAACTAGGAGTACGGTCTTGTGCCACTTGATTCAGATAAAAAAGAGTTTTTAACTCACTGACCTATTTTTTTTTGAATTATTTGCTTTTTCTCTTTGTACAAGTTAGCATTTTTTTTTTTTAACAAATAACTTAGGGCTGCCAATCACAGCATGTTTTCTTATAGAAATAGAGAGTGTGTGTATTCCTGAATATTCCATAGCCTGTGTGTACAGCAAAGAGAACAGCTTTTTGAGAGCTGGAGTCACTCTTCCACCACATGAGTTCAGAGGACCAAACTCAGGTGTGTCAGGTGTGTCAGTAACTGTTCTTATTCACTAAGCCATCTTGCTGACCCTTTAAAAAACAAAACAAAACAAAACAGAACAAAACAAAAACCTTGTCTCATTCTGTTGCCTTTACTGGCCTACAACTCGATGTAGACCAGGCTGGCCTCAGAATCAGAGAGGCAAAAGCAGATGAATCCCTTTCGTTTGAGGGCAGCCTGATCTACAGAGTGAGTTCCAGGACAGCCAAGGCTACACAGAGAAACCCTGTCTCAAAACAACAAAAACCAACCAAACAAATAAACAAAACCACTAAAGCCAGATGTGGTTGTAATCTCAGGTTGTAAACTCAGGAAGCTAAGGCAAGAGGATGGACAGTTCTGGGCCACCCTGGATTACCTAGAGAACTGTAGAACAGCCAGGCTCCGTGGCGCAGGGCTGTAATCCCAGTACTTGGGGAGGCAGAGGCAGGCAGATCTCTGTGAGCTCAAAGCCAGCCCAGTCTATAAAGCAAGTCCAGGACAGTCAAGGCTGTACAGAGAAACCCTGTTTCAAAAAACAAACAAAGAAATACCTGAGAGGGAATTTTCTGGAGTGAACAGCCACTGGACACTGCTCCTGGGCCCTGGATGGCAGAATCCCCGCAGTCACCTCTGTGCTCTTCTGCTTCACAGGCTGTTGGTCTTCTCTAGGGTCCTGTGATCCAGTCCTATAGACAGATGTTCCCTGTAACCCATGCTTTTTACCCATGTCCTTGTTCTCAGAAATAAAGACTTTGAGACTTAAATATATTTATGAGGGCTGGAGAGATGGCTCAGCGGTTAAGAGCACTGTCTGCTCTTCCAGAGGTCTTGAGTTCAATTCCCAGCAACCAAATGGTGGCTCACAACCATCTATCTATATTGGGATCTGATGCCCTCTTCTGGCAGGCGGGTGTGTATGCAGATAGAACACTCATCTATAATATATATATATAAGTTTACAAAAGCCTAGGCCAATAGGCATGTTCCCCGACTTGCTCGTAACTACTATCCCATTTATTTTATTACGTTCTGCCACACATAAAATAAATGAGGGGAAAAAAAGTTCTGCCGTGTGGTGGCTGGATACCTCTGCTCAGGTTTCATGGATCTGCCCTCCTCAGTGTCTGGGGTGAATTCCCCGAATATGTCACTCTATCCCAGCATTCACTCTCTCTACTGTAACTCCTCCCTCCTATTTCCTGCCTCGGCTATAGGCCAATCAGCTGTTTATTGACAGGTGAAGAATCCATACAGTACACAAGATATTATACCTACACAATCCAAGGCATATCTTTGGGTCTCCTTGAATCCTCACCCCTTTACACCTTTACCCTGCAAAGGACAAGGTGAGCTCCCTTCCCCAACTCCTTAACAGCAAGATCCTGGCTTCTCCATGGCAGTGCTGCAGGCTGTCTCCAGCTTGCACCCTGACACTGCTGTCCTAGATCCAACCCTCACTTCTTTCAGGGAGCCTCCCAGGCTTTGTGGCTCGGAGCTCTGAGCTCCAAGGCCAGGGCTTTTCAGGCAAAGAGAGCCACTCTAGGGATTATCATGAGCATCAGGTAGGGCTGCAGAGTTCCCCATGTTCAGGCTCATTTACACAAATGAGGCCTCTTAAATCCTCTGTGGTGATGGTGATGTCATGGGGTTCCTGACCCTCACTCTGGCCAGTCTTGGCACTCAGCCTGTGCTCTAAGCCTTTGCCTTCATCTTTTGTTCAAATCTAATTCTGTGCTCAACCCCAAAGAGGCTCCTTGGGGAGTTGACATGTTGCTACTCAGAAGCCAGGAGCACTTGGTTGAACATTTACTTCAGAGACAGGGAAAAACGAAAGCTATTACACTTTAGAGGCAACCTCAGAACAGATCGTTGTCACAAGTCTTCAGAGAAAGCACTTTGCTTTGCTAAACCATTTCTGGGGAAAAGTGATAGGCAGGGCAAGTAGCCTTTGCAGTTTTACTTTTAGCTACTGATAACAGTAACCACTGTAACTGAGCAGTTTGCCATTTGTCAGAGTGAGAGCAGGTTGCCCATAAGGGTACAGCCAGAAGGAATCATCCCCAGGGCGGGTCCTCCTGATGGTGCCTTATCAAGAGAGGATAGGCAGGGAGAACAGACTCCAGGGTGGACTCCAATGGGACAGCTCATGACCAGGAGGACATAGGGGGTTGAATCTGGAGAAGGTTCTCTACTAAGGGGAAGACCAGATGAAGTGGGTAAAAATCTCTGTAACCAGAACTTTTGGTTACTTTATTTATTGGGTTCTTTTTTTCTACCTCCCTACCCCACCCCTATCCTTTCCAACTCCCCAACACTAGGCAGGAGAGAAAGAAGGTTGGAGCGGAAAGGGGGCATCGCTATTGTTAGACTTCTTGCTGATAAGGAGCATTGAGTTCCTTGGGGCAAGTCCAGTCATAGCTGCTTTGGACAATCTGAAGGAACCCCGTGTATTCTACACCTGAAATTAAACAAACAAACAAAGAAACAAACAAAAAAAAACCCCACCAACAATAAAAAATGTTTGCATAACATAATGATTTTTTAAGAAAACCAAAATTCTCCCAACAACCTTCCTTAGAGAAGAGGCAGCATGGGCCTCTAGATGAGGGCAGGGACAGCTCTTCAGTGAGGATTTTGGAATTTTGGTTTCTTTAAAAACATAGAAATAATACTAGGTGTAGTGGCGCACAACTGTAATCCCAGCACTCTGGGAGGCAGAGGCAGGCAGATCTCTGTGAGTTCCAAGCCAGCCTGGTCTACAAAGTGAGTCCTCAACAGCCAAGGCCACACAGAGAAACCCTGTCTCGAAAAATGAAAACCAAACACCACAGAGATATTATAAAAATATGTGTTTTGTTTGTTTGTTTGTGTGAGAGAGGGTTTCTCTGTGTAGCCTTGGCTAACCTGCCTCCCCAAGTGCTAGGATTATATGACTTTGCCTTTGCCAGCTGCAGAAAGTTCTGCAATTGTGTGACATTTGGAATTCTGAGAACCATTCAGAGGGTGTTTAACAGCAGGGCCTGAGAGGTTGTTGGGTTGTTGGTTGGTTCTTAGTCACTTTTGGTCATGGTTGATTAAGTAGTCTTTTGCAGAGAATAAATGGCGAGAAGAAGAAATTTGATTTCCTAATGTCAAAGATCAAACTTGGCCCAAGGAGCTTGATGCCCCTAAGCAGCGGGAAGCAGTCTAACGATAACGTCGCCCCCTTTCCAACCCCTGACTTTATTCAGGGGCCTCTTTCCTGTCCTTTCTATCCTTTGTTCTCTCTTATCTAGTGTTAGGGGTTTGAAAGGGTAAAAGAAAAGGAGTGGAGAAGGATAGACTAAAGAGCCCACAAGTAGCAAATGCTGGCTACAGAGCTCCAGTATGCCATGACATTTAGAGCCTAGGCTAGGCTCTGTAGGAGGGAGTGGTGGAGAGCAGCGTTGGACTGATGTTTTTGCGCCCTGTGTGAAGATGGTCCCTGGATATTCAAATGCTGGTTTCTGTACCAGCAGAGAGCTGAGCACAGAGCTGACTGTGGGATTGTGAAGCATCACCCATCTCAGTGTTTTGTATTTTTTCCTTTAAAGCAGCTTCCTATGCAGTCAAAGCTGGCTTTGAACTTTTTTTTTTTTTTGTAAGATTTATTGATTATGTTTACAGTGTTCTGCCTGGACACCAGAAGAGGACACCGGCCCACATTATAGATGGCTGTGAGCCATCATGTGGTTGCTGGGAATTGAACTCAGGACCTCTGGAAGAGCAGACAGTGCTCTTAACCTCTGGGCCATCCCTTCAGCCCTGAGTTTGAACTCTTAATCCTGCTATCTCTGTTTTTGTTAATTTTTAGTATAATTATTTTGAGACAGGGTTTCTCTGCCCTGGAACTTGCTTTGTAGACTAGGCTGGCCTCAAGCACGCAGAGATCTGCCTCCTGAATGCTGGGATTACAGGTGTGCACTACCACTGTCTGGAGTATTAATTATTTTTTTTAAATGCAAGATCTTTACTGGTTCTATGTTTTGAAAATAGCTTCCACAATGTTTATTTCATATTTGTTTCTTTTTATGTGTTGGGTGTTTTGCTTGGATGTCTGTCTGTGCACCACCTGCCTGGTGCTCATAGAGGCCTGCAGAGGGCTTCAGATGCCCCAGAACTGAAGTTACAGGTCACTGTGTACTGCCTTATGGGTGCTGGAAGGGGAGCCAGTGCTCTTTAACCACTGAGCCATCTCTCCAGCCCTTAATTAACTATTTTTATGTGTGGTCATGGGCTGGTGTGTGGATATCAGATAACTTTGTGGAGGCATTTCTCTCCTTCCATCTTTTTGTGGGTCCCAGGAATTAAACTGGGGTAGGACAGGCTTGGCAGCAAATGCTTTATAGGCTGAGCTTTCTGGTTGAGCCCAGCTATCTAAAGGAGCCACCTCGCTGGACCCTTTGTTTTGTTCTTTTGAGGCAAAGACTTGACATCAGTGATTTATATAGAAAACATTTATAACATAATGAATTTAGAAACAACCAAGATTACGATCGATTACAAATGACGTAATTCACGAAGGCCCTTCAGTTACTAGAGAATGCCCAGGAAATGACGTTGACTCGGGAGAAAGGATGGGACCAAAGAGATAAAGGAACCAGAAGGGAGGATAGGACACAAGGATCCGCCGAGCCAGGGTCATGCGGCCATAAAGGTGGTGAGCCTTCTGAAGGTGGGTGAGGCTCCAGACAAGGATGTCAGGATACGGGAACACGCAAAATACAGCAAGAAAGCAGCGACCTGAGCCATCCGTGTCGCCACCGCCACAGTGCACGGTCACTGGGACAAAGTGCCAAGGATATTCCAGCAGGCGGTGACTCCAAGGGGCGAGGGCTGAACTAAGGGTAAAGGCCGGACCAATGGGCAAGGGTTGTATCAATGGGTGAGGGCTGGGCTGCTGACAAAGGATGCTGCGCAGTTACAAATGTTTGAATAATAATCCAGTTAGCTTTAATGAAGAGGAAAACATTTCCCTCCCCTCGATGGAACATACAAAAACCTTTAAATGAATGTCCCGGCTTCCTCCTCAGGGAGTCAGAGTCAAATACTGCGTGAGATGAGTGGGAAGACGTCAATAAACCATACCCGGGATCCCAAACCCAGGTTGCTCCACCCTGAATGCTCCATCTCTACTGACTCCGCCCCCTTCGAGGGTAACGGACCCGCCCCTCACGCCGATTGATCCAGCGTTCAACAAGCCGCTGCAAAGGTAATATCTGGATAGGCGGAATTCGTCAAAGGAATGGGTCCCCACCACGGCCCTACTGCGCATGCTCGCCCCGTGACCCTAGCTTGAGGTGACGGCGGGAGCCAAGGCGGGGGCCCAAAGCACTGAGGCTGAGGGACCCGCCACGGCTCCGTCGTCCGAGAGGCAGGGCCTGCTGCCGTCGGTGAGGACGGGCCCCCAGCGGGCGGGAGGGTCCCGGCTCGGAAGCGAGTCCGGGCATGGCTGTCCCGGAATCCGGGACGGTGCTAGGGAAGGGTTCCTAGCTCTGCCCCCCAAATTCAGACCGCCCTCTTGTCGGCTATCCGCGAGGCGCTTCCTTTCTCCATGCTTACCTTTCACAAACCCACCCTACCTCTGAGCACCCTGGACGTCCCAACCTTGGACACCCCCAACCCCCAACGCGCCCCCTACCCTAGTCGGTGTCCGCTCTGCCCGGTTGGTACACGCCCATGCTTAACCTCTGCACTTTCGTTGCATTAGGCCTGGGAGTCCTTGTCCCAGAATTTGAGGGCTAGGAGCTGGGGTGAGGGACAATGGTTGGAGGGGAGCAGGGAGCCGGAGGGTTTTAGGTACAAGACCTGTTGGGCAGGGGTGGTGAAGAGACCATTCTGAGTCATGGTGATGAGGGAAGGGAGATGCCCTTATTTGGGACCCCGCATGGGGAAGCTTTGCTCTGTTCTGCATGTTACTCAATTCTCAATCCTCGGGGAGGGTTACTGCTGTTTTCTTCTGTCTCCCCGTGGGCTATGTCCTGCACACCCCGGGGTCATATGTCCAATCACAGCTCTCCGTGGCTGTGCAGGACCTTGACTATGGGAACAGCTGTTGGTAACCTGAGTTCACCGTGCTTACCCTTCACCTGATGCTAGCAACTCCCATTACACAGCGCAAACCAGCCCCGAGAGGATAAGGGGCCTGTCCTTCCAGTTAGGACGTTGCTGTTTCACTATCACCTTAATGAAGGTAATTCTATTGCTCACCCCAAGATAACAAGTGAAATTCCAAGCCTCCAGAGCCTCGTCAGTAAGAGTTTGGACCTTGATTTTTCCACGGCCACCCTAATGACAGTCACCACCAATTTAGTGACTTAAAAACAACACAGCTTTATTCTCATATATTTTAAAGGCCAGAAGGCTGATGTGGGTGTTTGTTATTAGTGTGAGCGGGGCTGTGTTCCTTCCTGAGGCTTTAGGAAAGACACACTTACTTGCCTCTTCTAGAAGCAGCCTGCCTTGTTTGGCTGGCGTGCCCTTCCTCAGTCTTCAAAGCCCCTTATCAACTAATGAACCCTGCCTCCAGCCTAACCTTTCCTACTCTGCTTCCACCTCCACGTCTGTCTTTCTTTCTTTCTTTCTTTCTTTCTTTCTTTCTTTCTTTCTTTCTTTCTTTCTTTCTTTCTTTCTTTCTTTCTTTCTTTCTTTCTCTTTCTCTCTCTCTTTCTTTGTTTCTTATTAATGTTTTTATTTTGTCTGTGTGCCACATGTGTACAATACCTGTGAAGGCCAGAAGGGGGCATCATATCCGTTAGGCGCTACAGGTGTTGTGAGCCACCATGTGGATGCTGGAAAGCAAACACCTGTCCTCTGGAAGAGCAGGAAGCCTGTTTCTTTTGTTTGATCTTTGTCATTTTGGGTTTTGTTTTGTTTTGTTTTTTGGAACAGCAATGTGTAGTCAGAGGACAGCTTGTGGGAACTGGCTCTCTCCTACCATGGGGATCCTGGGATGGAACGCAGGTCTTGAGGAAATCACCAATACCTGCTGAGTGATCTTGATAACCCTTGTTTTGGAGACAGGTTCTTGATAAGTAGGTTTGACTTGAACCCCCAATACTGCTTTACCCTTCCCACTGCTGGGATTATAGGTGTATGCCACCACACCGGCTGCTAGGTGGTAGGACCTGGGCATCTCAAGATTCATTATCCTGGCTCTCATAGACCGGGTGATGTGTGAAAGACTCCTGCTCATTGTATGCTCTTGGATCTTGAGCCAGTTTTGCTCTTTGGGTATCCTTAATCGTGACCAAGGTCATGAGAGCTGCTTGGCTTTGCAGGGCTGGGGACTGAATAATGTAGGCAAACTCTCAACTGGGCTACACCAACCCTTGCTTCACTTTTTTTTTTTTTTTTTTGGCGGGTGATAATTTGTGTGTGTGGGTATGTGTAGTATGTGTGTGAGGATATACAAGTGCCTCTCCATGTGCATAGGCCAGAGATGGATATTGAATGTGTGTCATCCCCCCCCCCCCACCTTCCCTTTCTACTTCATTACCTCGAGACAAAGCATCTCACTTGAACCAGAAGCTTACCATCTTGGCTAGGCAGATTGGTCAGCCAACAAGCTCCAGGGATCTGAATGAATATCTCTACTTCCCAGTACTTGGTTCCAGGTATGTTTGGCCAGGCCTGGCTTCCACAAGAGTGCTGGGAACTTGGATTCAGGTCCTTGGCATGTGCAGTAAGTGCTCTTACCAACAGAACCATCTCCTTACACACACACACACACACACACACACACTTTTTTCCTCCTGGAAGTTGGAACACATGACAGTCTTTCTGCCTCACTCTCCTGAGTGTTGGGATTCAGGGTATGAGCCACCACACCTGGCTTCTGTTTGTTTGCTTATTTATTTATTTATTTATTTATTTATTTATTTATTTATTTATTTATTTATTTATTTACTTACTTATTTACTTACAGTGTCTCATGTAGCCCAGGCTGGTCTTGAACTCCTAATTCTCCTGCCTCCCCCTCATATGTGAGAAGTCTGGTCTGAGACTTTTTTTCTCTGAATAGTAGACTAATAAAAAAAAAAATTACTTTGTTGAGTAAGTGTATCTTATCTTTTAAAATGTTAAATATGTGGCTACTGGGAAAAAAAAAGTGAGTTCACAGACATTACAATTTAAGAACATGGGTCTTGATGGACGGCTCGGCAGTTAAGACCACTTGCTGCTCTTTCAGAAGCCCCTAGTTGGGTTCTCAACACCCGTGTTGGGGAGCTCACAGCTGCCTGTAATTTCAGCTCCAAGGGATCTGACACCCTTTTCTAGCCTCAGAGGGTGCCTGTACAGAAGGCATTCACTCATTCAGACACACGTATGAGAAACTAAAAATAATAGGAATAAGTCTTTGAAAAACAATCGGGATGATGGTGAACTCACTCATTCCCACCATCACCCTAAAGTCGCTTCAGACCACAGGCAGATTTGGAGGGCTTTAGGCAAGCATGCTACAGAGCAACCCATAATGTGGGGGTGAGATTTCCTAGGGTCCCGCAGAGGTGAAGAGCCTCAGCACAGCACAGCACAGGCATCTCAGTTCTCTGTGACCATCACAGATAGTGGTGACTTTGATCAGCTGGTGGAGGTGGTGGATGCCAGTTAGTTCCCCTGAATAGTCACTATTCTTACTTCCTGGGGACTGAGTCACTAAATGAGAGGGGAGGTCGACCTTAGGGAGGAGCATCTTCTTTAGAATTCTGTTAGCTTGAATTCTTTTAGCCCAGTCGGACCTTGAACCTTGTGGGTAGCTGAGAGTGACCTTGAGCCCCTAATCCTCATACCCCTACTTCCCAAGGGCTAAGGTTATAGGCATGTGCTCCTGTAAAAGGTTTACGTGGTGTTGGGACTCGAACCCATACTTTTGTGCATGCTAGACAGGCACTCTGAACTATATCCCCAGCCCTGGAATTCATGAGGAAAACTTGGGCCCTCTCCAATATATATTCAGGTATTGTTATCATTGTGGGCTTGTGGATATTTATTTTATTCTTAGTGTTATAACCCTGACCTTAAGGTAGGACCACACTCTTGAGCAGTTTTCTTCATGGCTGGCTTTTCTCTTTTGGAATTGGCCTTTGTCCAGTGAATCTGGGTTCCAGTTCTGGTTCTCACCCTTGGCACAGGTGGGATGATGGGAATACTGGGAAGGGAGGTCACTGGGTTCCAGCAAAGAAGGTCAAGATTGGCCTCAGATCTCATTCCTGACTCAGGTTGCTTTGTGTTGGACTTGGATAAGGAGGCCAGTGGGGCAAGGTGCCTGACCTCTTCCGCATACCATTTCATCCAAGAGGTTTCTGGGTCCCTCTGTTATGTGGAGTAGTGTGTATACGTGTGAAATGCATGTGCAGTGTGTTTTCAGGTGTGCTCCTGTGCATGGGCAGGTCAGAGAGGTTCAAACTGGGTATCTTCCTCTACCGCTACTCGGTATTTTCTGAGACAGGGTCTCCACTGAGCCAAGCGTTCCCTGTTTTGGCTAGACTGGAAGGCAAACCATCCCCTGGGGTCTACCTGACTCTGTTCCCCTCCCCCAAGTACTAGGGTGTTACAGAGGCTCTCACACTGGGCTTTCTATATGAATGAATGCTGAGTATCCAAACTCAGGTCCTTATGTTTACATAGCAAGACTTTGTTCACTGAGCCACGTCCCCAGCTCTCTGGGTCATGTCTTTGTCAACTTGTATTTGTGTCTCTACGTTTGAAACAAGATCTCCCCTCCCCGCACCCCCATGTTGAGGACTGACCACTCAGATGCTACACAAGTTCTGTGTCCCTGAACTATATCCCCAGCCTGAAGGAAGGATTTGGGGGGCGGGGCAGGAGGCAGGTCTTGTTGTATAGTCCTGGTTGTCCTGGAACTCCCTATATAGTCCAGGCAGGCCCCAAACTCATCTTCCTGCCTCTGTTTCCTAAGTGATGGGCTTGAAGGCGTGTACCACTGTGCCTGGTCCTAAATTGTATTATGCTTGGTTTTATTCTAGTGATTTGTATTAATCTTATTTGCTTGCGGCTTAACTTACTTTGAGGTTCTGGGGACCTAACTCAGGACCTTGTCTCATGTTAAGCTTTTGCACTACCACTGAGCTTCACGGAAGCCCAGCTCATGTGTATTTTCTTTTCTGGCATTTACATAGCACAGGGGACCTTTTTCTTTTGACTAAATGACTAATGGGGAAATTACCTTGTGAATAAATATATATTTTTTAGATGTGAAGTATATTATCACTGGGGGCAGGGGACTGAATTCGTGGACATACAAGTTAGTAAACTGGTGAAGAGTGAACTCACTCACTCCCACCATCACCCCAAGCTACATTGCAGATCCACTTGGTAGCACCCCATTCTCCTCCACTGACTGCTTTGCCTCCCACCTTAGGACAGAGCCCCTGGACTCCCAGGTTCCTGGCCAGGGAGGAGGAGGAAAAGGAGAAGCCTATCTACCGGGGCTGAGCAGGCCTGAGGGCCAGGCTGTTGGTCCTGGAATGCCCCAGCCCAAGCCCAGTGAGCAGGAGGGTGAGAACACGAAGGCCGGCCAGGAGCCAACTCCCCAGCCTGGCACAGATGTGGTCCCAGCAGCCCCCAGGAAGCCCAGAAAATTCTCCAAGCTAGTCCTGCTGACAGCCTCCAAAGACAGCCCCAAAGTGGCTGGGGCCAAGCGCAAAGGAGTCCATTGCATCATGTCCCTGGGCGTGCCGGGCCCTGCCACCTTGGCCAAGGCCCTCCTCAAGACTCACCCTGAGGCCCAGCGGGCCATTGAAGCAGCCCTCCAGGAGCCTGAGCAGAAGCGCAGCAAGCTGGACCTGGGTGAGGCTCCCGTAGCTGGCGCTGCCCCTCCAAGATACCTGGTACCTCTCAGAGCTGCCACCGGCATCTGGTTCCCATTCTAAGAGCCCCTGCCACTCCCTTTGCCTTCCTGATCAATGCTGCTCTGCTTCTCTGAGCACAGGTGGGAGGCGGAGGGCACAGGAGTTACAGGTGCCGGCTTGGGGCACTGGGCACTCCTTGAAGAGCCTGGGACCCTGACTTAGCCCGGGGTATTGCCAAGTAGCCTTGCCCCTTAGAGTTCATAAAGAGCCCTTTCTGCATGGGGTGCTTGCCTTGCTTCATCCCAGGGGTGTCGGAGGTTGAGGTGGGCATGCTGCTCTGTGCTGCATCCTAGAGGCTGCTGACCTCGCTCAAGGTCTTGGCTACATATGGTGTTTCCAAAGGCCTGGGCTTCTTGGTCCACCGTCCACATGTTCCACAAGCATTTCACAGCAGGTACAAAGAGTGCCTTCATTTCTTCTGTCAGCTAGTTTGCCCATGTTTGTAGACTTGCAGTCGTGTGCTCTCAGGGCCCTGGGCCAGCAGGAGCTGGAGGACTCTCCTCCCTGTCTCCCTGAGTCTCACCCTCACTAAAGCCTCCACAAAGGACAGAACAGAGCTCCAGGGGACTTTCAGGAGGTTTCCATGGAGGACCCTTAGAAGTTTCAGGCTGATGAGGACACAAGGCTTACGGAGAAAGCTCAGTGCCCTCTCCTCTCGTTTACAGAGATGATGGGAGGCAATGGGCAGCATTAGCCTCTCCTTACCGCTCCACCATGGCTTCGCCCCTTCCTCCAGTGTGACGGGGTGGGCAGTGGGTGGAGGACGGTGACAACATACTGTCCCTTTCTTTACACCCAGCTCAGGCTAGTCCCATGTTCCTGGGACCTGTGGTGTCCTCAGGCCTCCTTGGGAGCAGTGAGGTGGCAGGTAGCAGAGGGGTTGGCTGGGGACAAGCAATGAAGGCTAGTTTCTGAGCACTCCAGAGACTGGAGGAAAACAAGTAACCAAGCTTGCAGTACTCAGTGTCAGGACACTGTGGATGGTGCTGAGGTGGGGAAAGAGAGTGGGGCCGATGGCCACAAGATGTGCTTAACAAGGGACAGAGGCTTGAGACTTGATCGAGGTTCTGACCCACTTGCCAGGACACAGAGTTCTCAAAAGTCACCAGAGCTGGAAGGAGAGCCCTAGGCCAACAGCACCTGGTCGCCCGGGGAGGGGTACAAGACATCTTCCTGGGTGAAGCTGCAAGTTCCCCAACCTGGCTGTGTGGGTGCATGTTGTGCCCATTCCTGTGTCCTGTGTGTGGTTGTCGTCTGTGTGAGCATCTCTGTCATTGTTTCTCTTGTCCCTTCATGTGACTTTTCCCTAGGAGGTGAGTGTGTGTCAGTCTAAAGCAGTTTCCCCTCCCCTCTGGGCTTGGAGCAGGAGATACTGCAACTCAAGCACACATTTAGGGATGCCTGTGGCAGGAAGAAGGCAATTGAGCTGATCTATTTCCGGCAGAAGCAGCACTTGCCAGGCCCTGAGATGGTGGGCTGAGAAAAGCTATGGTCTTGGGGTTCCATTTTCTGCCAAGGCACAGGTGGCCCCTTAGGATCAGCCTCACCCGAAAGAGGAAGGAGAGGAAGTGCTGGTGTTACCAAAAGTTAGTTGGGCCGGGCAGGGGATCCTGCCTCCTTGCTCGTAGAAATTGAATGGGACGGCCAAAGGTCATAAAGCTCCATCGTCCCACTGCCCATCCCCACCCCAGGGGCTAAAAGCTCATGGAAGCCAACATGGAGTGGCTGTGGCTACAAGCCTGGAGTTCTTTGGAGACCGTAAGGATCCTCAGGCTCCCATTCACAGCTGGGGCATTGAGCGCTCTCTGAGAGTGCCCTACTATCTGGCCACTTGGTTCTCACCAGCACAGGGGTTGAAGATGGGGTCTCCAAGACCTATGGGAGGCTGATCTTGGAGTCACTACCCTGAGGCAACCTGCACAGAAGGAGCAGGTTGACTGTGGCTGGTAACAAAAACAGTTGGCTATAGAGACATCATATTGGTCCCTTCCAACCACGGGAGACCTCCTACTGCTTCTTGTGTGAGTTCAGGCTCTGAAGCACTACAGCTTCTGGGAGAACTGGAACAAAACAAAGGAACGATGGCACCCCTTCCGGGCTCTGCTGGGCACGTGCTCTTCATCAGTGGACGACTTCCTGTCCCCTGTTCCCACATGCAGACCTTCCTGCCTCCGCCCCACCCCTGGCCAGGTGGTGGCAATTCAGCCGCATCCTACTCAGCTGTTTCCTAGAAACGACACAAGAAGTGTTTGTGACCCTGAACTTGGGGCTTTTTAGGAATGGTGTCCCCAGTGTGGCAATCCCTTAAGTCAGTTAACACAGACACCTGGCCTTTTACTGACCCCTAAGAGGCTAGGGCGAGTGGCTCTCAGCTTACAGCAGAACAGTGGGAGCCCAGGGCCAGCCTTTTCCATCCCTCCTTTGTTCTTTGTTACCAACCTGACCTATCTGCCTTTTCCCCAGATACAGACGGCCCAGAAGACAATGGATCATCAGGGGTGTCTTCAAGTTCCGAGGAGGAGACCACTGTGGTCCCCAAGGAGCCCAGTGTTTCCCCATAATTTTGGCAACTGCTGCAGTGTGCTCTGCTCACTGCATAGGTTACTTTTATAAGCAAGAAGGAAAGGAGAGAGAAAATAAAAGCAGCTGTATGCTGTTTTCCACCTTCGGCAGGTTTTTGTTGTTGTTTTTCCAGACAGGATCTCTCTGTGTAGCCCTGGTTGTCCTGGAACTTGTTCTGTAGAACAGGTTGGCCTCGAACCTCACAGAGATCTGCCTGCCTCTGCCTTCTGAGTGCTGGGATTAAATAAGTGCACCACCACCACCAGGCTGGGGTAGGCTTAAAACGCTAGAACTCTTGGGACCAGCTGTGATCCCAGCACTCTGGAGACTTCCTCTCTGACTTTCTTTCTCATCCCAGACTTGCCTGGCCTGGGCCAGTAGACCCAGTGCAGTCTCTCTTGAGGCCTCTAAATCCTAGGTTCATTCATGGTTGGGCTTTCTTGGCCTGGAAAATGAGCTCTTGGCATAACTCAGAGCAGTTCCCAAGGCTTCATCTTTGTGCTACTGCTAGCCTGAAATGAGTCACCAAGAGCTCCTGCCCTGGACCCAGGACAGCTTGGTTTCCTCATGCCTGACTCTTTCCTCCACAAGAGACATCAGATTCGCTCTAGCTGAGTCCAAGGTTGCCATGGGCCACTGTCCTTCCTGATCTAAGCAAGCCTGCTCTCTAAAAGATGACCCTCAGATTGCTGGCTCCCAGACACAAGAGCCCCAGCCTCCTCCCGACGGGCACCAGTGAGGAAGGGATGAGGCTACAGCTGACACTTGTCAAGCATCTACCCACAATCCTCACAAGAGTGCAAGGCAACCCCAGGAGATCATACACACACAGCCTGGCCCCCTCCAACTTGTGGACTGGAGAGAAAGGAAAACAGTTGTCTTCCAGTCCCCAAGTGGGTTACCCCCAGACACTCTCAAAGGGCACAAGCTTTGGACTCCAGTCCTTTTACCTACCAGTCCTATTCTCTGAAAAACCACTTCTGAGTATGAAAAACATTATCCTTTTCAATGTAGAATGTAGAGGCCCTATGTTTCAAATGTGTCTTCAAAACTCTCTCTGAAACAGATACTTGCCACATTTTTTTTTCTCCTGTCATTCTGCTGTATTGCTGTTATAGGGCTGTTTTTTAAACTTTTAAAACATTTTATTAATTTTGACCGCACATATGTCTGTGTAGAAATGTGTATGCAGGACCTTTGGAGGTGAGATGTTGTGTTTTCTGACACTATAGGCACAGACAGTTATGAGCTGCCATGCAGTTGCTGGGAATCGAACCTGGGTCCTCTGGAAGAGCAGTTAGTGTTCTCAACCACTGAGCCATTGCTCCAGCCCCATGAGGGCTGTTGTAATATTGCTATTCTGTTCCAATCTTGGAAGTTCGTTCTTTCATCCTTTTAAAAATAGAGTCCACTGTGGTTTCTCTTTTGCTGTGTGCTTTTGGACCTGGGCATGGTGTGGCAGCCATTCCTTTGATCCCAGCATTTAGGAGACGCGGGGGGGGGGGGCAGGACATGAGGGTAGGGAGATGGCTCAGTTGGTAAACAATGTTGTAGAGTGGACCTCTAACCCCAGGGCTGGGCAGACAGGGACAGAAGGGTCCCTGGGGCATGGTGGCGAGCCTGTCTAGCCTAACTGGCCAGCTTCCGGTTCAGTGAGAGACCCAGTTTCAAAAACATAAGAGGGAATGCAGTTGAGGAAGCCAGTGTTGACCTCTGGCCTCCACACACAGGGACACAGACGCACACGCACATGCACACACTCACAGAGGAAGCCCTGGGATGGAGCTGGAGAGAATGACTACAGGGAAGCAAGGGAGAGGAGGGGCCGGACGGGAGCAAGGCTACCCTAACCTTTGCGTGCAAGCTTGTATTTGTTTTCCTCTGGCCTATGTATATTTACCTGGGTTAGAGTGGCCAGCTTAATCCAGTACTCCTAGGTCTCCACCAGACTACCTCACAGTTCCTCCCTGCGACCAGATAGTGTGCTCCTGGCATGCACAATATGAGTTGCTCGGCATCTCCACGGTACCTGGGCCGTGAGCGCCTCCTGGAGTGTGGTCCTGGATTACCAATCTCGGTCAGTCCTGCACTGCAGACTGCCAGAAGCAAGGGCTCCTTTAGGACCAGGCACACGGTGGCTCCCTGCACCGTATGCTGTGTTAGATTTATTGCCCTTGCTTCCTGCCCCATCCCCACACCACAAAAACTAACACTACCAGAGGCAGGATTTCTGTCTACTTGGGTTCCTGAGGTTCCCAGTGTGGAGCCCTTAAGGAGCCTGCAGGGTCACTGGACACAGAGAGCATGGGAAGGAGAGTAGAGGACAGAGATTTGAGATTACCAAATTGCAGAGGGCTTATAGGTTCTGCCCATGTGTAAATCACACGTGTGGATCGCAGTAGAGCTGGGGGGGAGGGTGTTGCAAGAAGCTGGAGTCTTGCCAACTCTGAGGCGAAGGGACAGCAAAGCAAGTGTGGGAGCCTGCTACTTGTAGAACCTTCCAGCTGTGTTAAAAGCAAGAAAGAGTACAAGGCAGAGCAAGCATCCTCCCTGTGGGAGCGATCCCCCTGCTTCTGCCCCGTGAATACCACCTCAGATTTATTTTTATTTCGTGTGTATGAGCATTTGCCTGCACGCATATGTCTGTAACATGTACATGATTGATTCTGGAAGAGGCCAGAAGAGGGCATCAGATCCCATAACTAAACTTTGCCATCTCTAAACCTCTATCTCCAAAGAAATAAGAGTAGCAACATTGCAGTTATGAAGTAGCAATGAAAACAATGTTATGGTTGCAGGGGTCACCACAGCACAAGGAGCTGTATTAAAGGGTCACAGCATTAGGTTGAGAAACATTGCCTAAGCCATCTTTCCAACCCTATTTGTTTTTTGAGACATCTAAGTAGAACCAGCTTCCCTGGGACTCACTATGTAGCCTATGGTGGCCTCATTCTCATGCCTCAGTCTCCCCAATTCTGAGATTATAGGTTTTCCCCTCTACACCAGGCTTTGCATTTTCTTTCTGAGTGAGGTTTTTTTGTTTGTTAGCTTTTAGCTTTCTGGAAAAAAAAATCCTTTATTTTCTCTTTCATTTCTTTATTTACCTGCTGCGAATTTTTCTTATTCACCTGTTGTTGTTTTCAAGACCCAGGGTCTCATGTAGCCCAGGCTTGCCTTGCACTCTCTATGTGGCTGATGATGGACTTGAATTCCTGATTCTCCTGCTTCCATTTCATTTCTGCCGTACCACAGCCAGTTCCTGGACCCTTCCTTAAACTCATGATCTGTTATTGTCACTATTTCGAATCTCAGATTGTCCTGGATTGGGAGTGGGTGATATCTAAAGGCTTCAAGGTGCTTCATGAGAACGTTCAGGGGAACTGGAAAGATGGCTTAGCTATTAAGAACACTGGCTGCTCTGTCAAAGGACCAAGGTCTGATGCCCAGCACCCACATGGTGGGTCACATCTCTCAGCAACACCAGTTCCAGAGGATCCAACAACCTCTTCTGGTCTCCGCAGGCACCAGACAAGCACATAGTGCACAGATACACATGCAGACCAAACACCAAATACATAAAAATACATTTTTTAAATATTTCAGAAGTATGGTAAAAAACAAAAACAAAAGAACACTTGGCAGCGGTAGCACAGGCTTTCAATCCCGTTCAGGGGAGGCAGAGGCAGGCCTGTCTCTGAATCTGAGGCCAGTCTGGTCTACAGAGAGAATTCCCGGACAAATCTCGTCTTGAAAAAAATAAGTAAAAATAAAATAAGTTAAAAAAAAATCAAAAGAAAGTTCAGGAAGGTCACCGGCCTAAACATGCACTTAAGCCAACATTACAATTTCCTAAGAATCCAGCCGAATCTTGTGCAAGGTTCTGTTGCCTCGACCCTCCAGCATCCTCTTAGTGAGGGTGCCCGGCCTGCATCCCTGCTACAAATTCACCTGCTACCCCGCCCCCCGGATGCAGTCGTGGGACCTTGGGTTATCCCGCCTCCTTCGCGGTAAATAGACCCGCCTCTGTATGCTGATTGGCCAGGGTGTCAGGTTGGCACCGCGCAGAGAAGACCCGGAGAAGTAGCATCCGCCCCAGGAACGGCTCCGCGCCTCTGCTGCGCATGCTCGCTAGTAGCGTCTGGGCTTTCCAAGCCGGTTCTTCGCGGGGGCGCGCGCGTCCGCGGCTCGCTCCCCGGGGGCCAGTTGGCGGCGGGAGCGGGCGCCTGGGTCGTGGTTCTTAGAGCAGCCCGGGTGTTAGGCCGACGCCTCTGTTGGCGGAGACCCTCACGAAGGACCGCGTGGCTCAGCCGCGGGAGAGGCAGGGCCCGCTGCCGTCGGTGAGGACGGGCCCCTGCGGGCGGGAGGGTCCGGTCAGCGGAGCGATGCCTGGTCCAGCTGCCCCGGGGTCGGGCCCGGTGCTGGGGAGGGACCCCAGCTCCGCAGCTCGGGCCGCCTCCTTGTCGGTCATCTGCGGTGTGCCCCCTTTCTCCTTGATCTCTTCACCAACGCACCCGACCCCTGTTCCCATCTCATCACCCCTAAATCGGGAGCACATATTCACCCATCTTCCTCGGACCCTGTCCACCCTGCCTAGTGCGTGTCCACCTGGCTCTGTTCTCCCTCGCGGCCCATCCTTGGCGGCGGCAAGTCCCAGTGACCTTGCAATTTTTTTTTGCCGGTTGTTACCCCTCGTAGTTCAGACTATAGATTGCCCGTTATGGCTTTCAAACTTTGTGAATCATTCTAGACTGAGAAATATGTTTTATGTGTATGAAGGTAGATTCGTGAATCACAAGTTTAAAGAGAGCCGCTTACCGGGCTCACATGACGCAGATCTATTCAGGCTCCGTTCTAATTCACTCCTTTCCGTTCCGTTCCATTCCATTCCAAATGACTGACTGGCTAACCCATTGATTCAAGACCTAGTTTATCTGACAGCTTTAAACCCTCCTTTTCTCCTTACTCACACAATCAGAAAACCATTGCAAAGAAAGGTCTTTTTTTTTTTTTTAATTTTTTTATTGTGGTGGTGGGTTTGTTTTGTTTGCTTTGGAATTTTTCTGCTTTCCGGGGTCTATCCCATTGCTGGGGTTTGATTTAGCTTTTCTGGTCTGATTCAGGAATGTTTATCTCATTGTTCTTACAAGCGTCACTAGTCTGACGTGTGTGTGTGGGGGGGGGGGCAGAAAACAGTATAAGTTATGGCTAGGTAGGGGAGCTGGCCATGTGCTTGCCTATGCAGATGGCTTTTGCTGGGGCGAGGGGGGATAAGGAAGAGTAAGTTAAGAAGAGTAACTTCTCGGCTTGTGGGGGTAGAAGTGGAGTGGCCAAAGCCGAAGACCATCAGAGGACTGCCCAGATTTTGATGGGCCGAAGAGGAGGCAGCGAGGAAGGAAAGCCTTGATGCCCGCATAAGCGGATGGGAGATGGGTGTGATTTCATCCCCAGAGAGTGAGCTGTGAGCATGCAGCAGGCTAGGTGAAGGCTAGCCATGCTTCCGATCGAGGATGGCTGGGGAGTCTATCAGTCAGCTTCCCGTGTCTTGTGTGGATTTTTATTATCGTTCTGAGTGTGTGTGTGCATGTGAAGGCCTGTTCTATCACCCTCCTACCGTACCTTTATTCTTTTCTTTGTGTGTGTGTTTTGAGACAGGGCTTCTCTGTGTATCCCTGGGCATCCTGAAACTTGCTCGGTAGACCAGGGTGGCCTCAAATTCAGAAATGCCCCTGCCTCTGCCTCCTGAGTGCTGGGATTAAAGGCCTGCACCACCACTGCCTGGCTGCCTTATTCCTTTGAGACAGGAGCTGTACTGGAAACCATATCTCTGCCTCCCACAGTCTGGGGTTACAGGCATCCAGTTAGACCTAGCATTTAACATGAATTCTGCCGGCTGAGCTAAGGTCCTCATGCTTACCCTACCGACCGCCGTTGTCTGCTGAGCCATCTCCACCCCCACCCTTAGCTTTCTGTGTGGAAGACAAAACACTGGTGTTGGTGCAGCCCTCAAGGGGGGCGGGGATAGTGGCAGTGAGAGAGCAGAATGAGAACACATGACAGGAGCATATAGTGGAGCAAGCTGTTCACCTCATAGTCGGCAAGAGCGAGAAGGGCTGGGGCTCCCATAGGTCCCTCAAAGGCGTACCCCAGTGACCTAAGGACCGCCCCTGAAGGTTTCATTACCTCCCACTGGTGCCTCTGTGGTGGACATTAATGATCCAAGTTATAGCAAGGGATTCTGGGAGTCCCAAACTCTGCATGTCTGTTTCTAAAACAACAACAACAAAATTCGCCTTTCCAGGGTCTGTTACCATTGCTGGGGCTTGATTTAGGTTTTCTGGTTGGATTTAGGTATGTTTATCTCATTGTTCTTCCAAGTGTTGTCTTTTAAGATAGGGTCTCTCTATAAGCCTGGCTCTCCGAGGACTCAGTATGCTGACCAGGCCGCCCTTGAACCCAGAGATTCTCCTGCCCTCCTCTCTGAGTGCTGGAGTTAAAGGCACACACTACCGCGTCCAGCTGCAGTGTCTGTATTACTAAATTGTTCTCAGTTCACCGGCCCCCTCACCAGAAGACACCCAGCAGTACTGGTTCCACAGTAACTTGGGAAAAAAGGTGATAGTGGACTTGAGTACAAAGAGGCCAGAGGTGCCGAGAGCTGCCCTGCCCTCACAGCGAAACAGAGTTAGTTCTAGAATGCCACCAGTGCTGAGGTGGTGAAATTGGCAGTCTTTCTGGGGCTTGTCACCACCTTCGCCCGGTCTCAGGCGTGCACACATAACCCCAGTATGTGATCCCAGGAAGCTCAGCAGTGCTGTGTACAATCTGTGTGTGCACAGTCACAGGTTAGTTAACCAGGTAAAGCGCTCCTCTTACCCATCACACACAGAGGCTGTTAGGAGAGGAGTCATTGAAATAAATCACACAGAACATTACTTACCTTTTTACATTTTTAATTAAAATTTTTTTTTTTTTTTTTTTTTTTTTTTTTTTTTT